GACATTGCCCAAAGCGAACATTGTGTAAACATTGTTTTCATAAATTTCTTACCATAAAAACATCTTTAATAATCCATATTAAAACAAGTAAGAGTGCTACATTCGGCTATGTCCAATCTTATGTACACATCATCAAAAAATGTATTGTTAATTAAAGTTCCTATATGTGAAATTGAGTCTTTCATGTTTAATAGGGTTTGAGATAATGATGGACCTAGCTCTAAAGAATTTGATATAGTGATTATTATCATCCAAACAGTGATTTTTGTTACATGAGGGTTAAAAACCCCGTACAGACAGGTCGAATTAGATTTTAGTAAAGTCCCAGAATAGATATACTGCGACCTTTGTGTTACAAATGGAATGACAAAATCAATATATTATTTTTGATGGTGGGCATAAAATTAATTATGCTATACAAATTGTGTAGGAGGTTATAGTTAGTAAGTATCATTATCATTTGTATATTTTAACAACTTTTGTTTTTGGTGTCTAACAAAATAATAATTAGTTTCTTGTTGTTGTATTAAAATATAATTAAAAACTTAGCAACTAACAAAATATTTTTTTTTTAATTTATAAACCATAAAATAGTATTACGAACTCCTACAGTAAATTTATTTTCCGACACATAAAAGAAAAACATAAAAATAGGACTCTTAAATACACCTTAAACTTAACCATTGAAATTTAAGAAAAAATTTCAATTACTTTTATTTGTAAGTATATAAAACAGGGTTATTCAAAAGGCCCTGTTAAATGATTAAAATTTGTTTGAACTCTAAAAATTCTTTTACATATACTTGATCTTTTTTAGTTCACAAAAACAGAATGAGTGATTTTTTTCATGACTTCGGCTTACTACAATTGTGTTTCTTATTAATTATTTTTTTTTAAAATGTCAATTTATAAACATATTTTGTATTATTATACCCACCATCAAAAAAGATGCCAGGTATATTTTTTTGTAATTTTGTTTGTAACACATCGAAATATTGATGATAGACCCACAAAAGTATATATATTCTCGATCCTTATTAAATTCTAAGACGATCTATCCATGTCCGTCCGTCTGCCCGTCCGTCTGTATGTTGAAATCACGATAGGATCCACAAGGCAGGAGGTAAATAGTTGAAAATTTGCATAAATATACTCTATTGATAAGGTTTGTTTGGTATTGTAAAAAGGCAATATCGGTGTCCACTTTTTTGGATATCCCCCCAAAAAAAGGGAATTGCGATGAAATTCGACACACTTAAATTTTATGACAGCGAAAATCTCTACCAATTTTATGGAGGATCGGCCGATAATTTACCCTACCCTATGAGGTCCTCTTCAGATAATTACTTTAAAGCTTATTATTGGCTTAAAAATTCGAGTATAGTGCTGAAATTCGACACAAGTAAGTATCTTGCGAGCCAAAATCTCATTACGCTCATTACTGGCTTTAAAGTGCGGGTATAGCGATAAAATTCGATTTAAGTAAGTTTCTTACTTGCCTCTCTACTGACCTTTATGACAATCTGCATATGAATAACCCTATTCCCATGGCTTATAAATACGAGTAAAGCGACGAAATTCGACAAACATAAGTTTTATACAGACCAAAATCTCTGTAACAAATTTAGTGATGTTCGGTACATAATTGACCCTACCCCCATATAATGTGCCCTTCAGAAAAATACTTAAACGATCTTTGCTGACTTAAAAATACAAGTTATGAATACAGTTATTGAATTCGACATAAGAAACTCTTATACGAACGTTAATTTTGCTACCGAATTTCATGCGGAATGTGTTGGTAACACACTCACTATGGAGGATAGCATATAAGGCCCCTTTAGAAAATTTCTTTAACGCTAATTACTGGCATAAAAATACGAGTACTGCGTTAATATTCAAGGCAAACATGTTTTAAATGAACCAAAATCGTTCTACAAAATGTTATGAAGATCGGTCAATAATTGACCTTAGCCCTCATATTAGGTCCTCTTCAGAAATTTTGATAAGGTTCCCTTCAGGAAAGGGTTCTGCTTTTCAAAATACGAATTTTCCTTATTTAAAAATACAAAATTTGATATAAACAAATTCTATACAAAACAAAATCTATGTACAACATTTTATGAGTATCGGTTCATAATTGACGCATATAAGCTCCCCCTGAGAAAATTACTCTTACGTTCACAGTTTAAAAATTTAAACAAATATTTTTTTTAATTCATATTTTGTTAGTTCAAAAGAGTCCAATTCGGCCCATAATGACTTAAGCCATATTTCAAATATCACCCTGATATCTATAGGGGAGCATCCCTTGTATGGCATACGGCTTGATGGTGGGTATATGAGATTCGGCATAGCCGAATATAACACTCTTACTTGTTTTTTAAATGTTTTGTTTTCGTTTCTAAAAATTTAGTTAGAATATTCTATGCAAAATTCACATGTTTTTTAAGTAGCTTAAACGAAATCCCAAATTTACATATATTTGAGGGGAAAATGTAAAAATTTCAATGATCTGAATTAAAAAATTTTTGATTTTATCTTTATATACATTAAATTCCAAAAAATACCTTAAATTCAAATGTAAAATGAGAATATTAAAATGCAAAAGTTAAAAGTGGTGAAATGGGTATCACAAAATCAAACGCGCTATCTACATATTTTCTAATTGAACTCTCATTCACTTCTGATAGTATCGCTAATTTTTGTTTACACATGCAAAAATTGAACGCTTTGCTAAGGTTATTTAAATGTTACAAAAATTTTTATATGAACAAATTTCAACCACAATTTAAAATTAAAATGTAACACAAAATAAAATAGGGGTTTTATTTAAAATGAAATTGCTTCATATTTTTATTTTTAATGCTGGAAATTTTCATGTTGTTAACACGTTGTAATATAAATTTAATTTTAATTAAATTTAGAAACTTAGAATTTTCAAATCAAATGAACTTAAACTTTAAACTAATTAGATGGTACAAATAAAAAATATTATTTGTAAAATTAGATTTTTTTAAATTATTTATATTTTTCAAAATTAACTGGAATCTTTAAACATTTTTTAACATGAAGTATACACTTTTTTGAGAATTTCATGTATATTAAACATATTTTCTTACAGTTTTTTCAAGAATTTTTTATTATCCTTCTTTTTATACAATTAAAAACATTAAAATAACTAAATACTAAACATGTAAAACAATACGTTAAAGAAAAATAATGCATGACCTTTATATAACAAATAATCACCACTCGTCTGACCTTTTAACTTTTTATACCCTACATACCTATAGTGAAGAAGCTATTATTCGATTGTACTGATGTTTGTAACATCCAACATTCAGAATCACTTTCTAAGCTATGCCCGTCCGTCCATCTGTGTGTCCATGTAAACCTTGTGCGTAGTGTGCGCAATTTTCAAGATAATTCGATATACTCTTTATTCGACTCAAGGACGAAGCCTATTGTTAAAAACGGTCGATTAATTCCTTAGCCCAAAACAACCATACCCCTCGAATAGGGCACATTTGGTTTCATAATTATGTTAAATGTTCTAATATCTCAACAAAAATCGACAAAACATAGTTTCTAAAATTGATATTGCCGATTTTCATAATGATAGGGTTCCATTTGACCCAAGTCCCCATACAAACTCAGAAAATCACTAAAGGTCCAAATTCACTTATAAACACTAATAACACTTTGAAATTCTATATAAATTACTATAATGTAGATGTAAATTTCTCTACCAAAATGTATAGGGATAGGCCATATTTACCCTTACCCCTATATAAACCTTTTTGTAGAAAATCTTTTTTAAATGCTTTATTATTAAAATATAATCCAAACTTGTGGTAGGGTATCATATGGTCGTCCATACCCGACTATACTTTCATACTTGTTATTTATTCAAATAACAACCCAGCAAAAACTTTGTAATGACTTAAACTTACACAACAACATAGTTTGTAATTACTATTACTTACCGTGCATTTATTATATATAATCAAAGCGTAAGTATTTATTTTAAGTTTTGCCATTTTTATAATCGCTGCAGTAGTGTTGGAAGTACTACAATGGACTAATGAAAACGGGACCGTAAACTGTTTCGGTATTTCTTATTTTCTTGTGCGTTAACTATAATTAAGCGTGGTAAGTACTTAGCTACAATGTCATCACTGTGTACAAATAATGAGTTAAAATGACAAATTATAACTAGTGAAAGTAATTTAAACTCATTACCTTTCAATGTAAGTTTTGCTGGGATAATGTTTTTATCAAATATTTGTTCAAAGTTGAGGCAACTATCAACATAAGTTACGTGGAAACACACATTTACCAATAAATATTTTTACTTCATATACATACATATATATATATATATATATATATATATATATATATATATATACATTGTACATATATCGCTCATTTACTTCTACAGTGTTCTTATTTAAAAACAGTTAATAAAGTATAGAGGGGCATGGTCATATTATACCCTTCACTAGTAATAAAATAATGTAAAAGAGCACAAGTGATTTATTTTCAAAAATTGTTAAAATATGTTGAATTTTGCTTCAGTTGTCATCTGTATATTTAAGCAACTTGTTAATGATGGGGACCCAATCCTAATAAAATTTGGAGGATTTCAACCATTTTCAATAGGCTTCGTCTTTGGATCAAATTGGTTATTAGGTTACAGATGGACGAACATAATAAAATCGATTAAAAAATAATTTCAGCATTTTTTCTTTGTTTTCGAAAAAGTTATGAAGATTAATTGTTGAACCAAAACCATGAAATGCAAACAAATAGGGGAAAAATATTGTTTATTTTGCATACTTTGTCTCCTTTTAATAATTTAACTTTATATATTTATTTACTTACCTCCATCTCAAAAATAATCGTACGACATAGAAAATATTACTTATTAAATCAAATAGTTTTATTAAAATTTGTATTTCATTTGGAAAGTTTTAATGAATAAGTAGGCATTATTTATGTACATAAATTTAATAATATTTTAATTGAAACATTTGTTGTTAACAAAAAAATATATATATTTATAATATAAACAATTTGTTATTATATTTTAGGGAAGATGTCATAAAATCCTACAATATTATGACCAACAAAAAAGTCTACTATGAGATCCTTGATATAAAAAGAAACATGGTATTCAAATATATTACACAACAACTTAAAAGTGTAATAATTAGTCATTACATCGAAACTTTTCAAAATATCACCATTTTCATAGATACTGTATGACACAATTTACTGTATTATACCATGCCACCATTATTTATTGTTAACAACATTTTGATTATGTCAGTGTTTATGTTTTCCATATAATTTAAAAGAGATTTGTATCTGTTTTCATTTTTAATTTTTTCTTAAAAGTGATTTATATTTATTTGTTGTCATAGATATTTATGGTATTAGAATAATATTTTAATAGTTGTATAGTACATAAATGTTTATTATTTCAGTTTTATTTTTTAGTTAGTTTAATATTTTTTCTATAGAAGTATTTATATACAAAATGAAAAATCTATCATAAGCAAATAAAATGTTCGATTAGAAATGATACATGTACATGTAAATATGTTGTTCATATACATACATATGTAAATATATACATTGATTAGATTTTAGAGAGATTATTTTTTAGTTTGATTTATTTATAATTTAATAGTTTTTTAGTTTAAACACATATTAGATTTATTTTTGTTGATTTATGTTTTATAGTTGTTTTATGATTCAATTTAGGGTTAAAATCACAACTGTTTTCTGAATTTTACAACCCTTGAGAAGTTTGACTTCTCAGTTAAAAATAATTACCACAAGAATTTTTTAAACTCAATGAATCCCTGGCAAAATGCCTAGACTTACTTTCCAGCTAAAACTTGTTTTATCAAACTTTTACTTCAAAAGATTATTGATTTCTAAACTGGCGTATATATACAATATTTAGTGCAAAATCATTGAATTTACGTTTTAAATAAAAAATATTAATTCATAAAAAATGTTAGTTTTAGAGATATTTTCAAAACACTATTGGATGAAGATTTTTTTATAACTTTGTGCATTTGTAAATTTTTTTATTCTTCTATAAAAGTAACTAAAAAACAGATGTTTGATTTAGTTGAATAGAATTTATATTCGTTGTCTTCGACACTCACACACTTTCACAATTATTTCAAAGTCTTGGACTGTCTAAGACAGTGTTCGCCGTCACCACAGTACAACTATTGGCCATAGCAATTGAATTGCCAGCTACTGATAAATTTGTGGTAGCTTTTGAACTTTTATGCCAAAAACTGCCACCGTTTAAATGCATCCCCTTAAAGGTATCCACAAAAGCTCGACGAAAACTGGCATTCATGAAACAATAGGTAATGGGATTACAACAGCTTGATGAATAGGCCAGAAGTTGGAAAAAACTTATCGTTGTATAGTCCACATATTCATAGATGGCTGGACCTATAAACATGGCCATCGTGTTGATAACATACAAGGGTGTCCAACAAATAAAGAATTCCAAAACTAAAACGAACAGCATTTTCACGACACGTTTTTTACTCTCCAAATTCTTTTCAAGATTTGATCTGTTCGAGAGGAATAAAAAGAAAGAATAATTTTTATTATGAAGACAATATCATAAACGTCTTACTATGTTTTATAACCAGAGAAACGTATAATGAATATTTTGTAAAACTTAAATACACATTTATCATACGCACCAGTATCAACTATTCTAATAGTATATATATTTCATGCAATTAAAAAAAGTTACTACTTGTTTTTTTAGAGTTTATTGAAATACGGAAATCCGATAACTGCTTGTGAACAGCCAATTACACTTTTATATTGTAAAAAATTGTTCATTTTATTTCACAGAACTTTTTTAAATATTTACTTAATTTTTCACTTTTTTATTTGGTCTTTTCAAAAATTTAACATTCACATGAGAATGATAGTTTGACATTGAATACAACATAAATCAACGTACAAAAAACAAACGTAAAATACATACGAGCTTTTTCAATGAAAATTAATAACAAAACTTTTACAATCGTGTACAATTCTACGAAAATACACAAGATACGTTGATACAAAGAGGTTGTGAATTGAATAAATTTTTTGTTGATGTAAACGCAAGTATAAAAAAGAAATATTCCAAAGAATTTCAACTTATTTTCAACTAAATTCTTTGTTTATTTCCAGATGAGTTAACAATTCTCTTTACCATTCTTTTAAATTTTGCGCCAGACGATGTTGGACTATAACTAACAAAAGCTTTAAAATTATATAAAAAGAAGCATAGTTGCAAAAGCAGCAAATTCAACACTTGTGAATATATATTTCATAAAATTCAACAATTGCACTGAAAATGTGAGAAAATTACACTAAAAATCACTGATACTTATTGTCAATACTTAAACTTAATATAAATTTTGCGCCATTGAAATCGCTTCAGAAACAACACAAACTTTAAAATGTTTTATCTCTTAATTTTGAACTAATATTTAATTACATGAAATTTTACTTCAAGTTCTTAAAAAAGTGAAGATTATTGATTTTGTCTTTAAACCATTCAATAAAAATCAAACTTTTTAAAATTAACGAAATATACTCCAACTCACTCACCTTCTTAGTGCCGACTCCGTGATGCGTAAACTGGGCATTGAATTCAATTTACGCTTTTCCACTACACCACTCATTTGCTGCTGTTGTTGATGAAATTGCAACTGCTGTTGCTTTTGATTAAAACTTTGCCTTGGCTGTAATCTAGTGATGTGTGTTGTTGGCATTGTATTTAGTGAGTAGCATGATGAGGATGCTGCATCCTGCCTCTCTGCTTTATTTTTACTACTGTTGCGATTCAACGATTTCACAGATGCTGATCGCATACAATACAATTGTAGTTGACGACCATCGTTTGATTTTGTCACAAATTTACGTCTATTAGCTGTTGTCATTGCAGAAGTGGCTACTGTTTTATCTACACTACAAGCACCGAGTTGAGAAATATCATCTGCAAATAATAAAACAAAAATAAAAAATAATCAAGACATTTTTGTTACTAAAGAATTAAGGAAGATAAGCTAAGAAGACCAATTTAAACAATATTTAAAATTTTTTTTAGAAAATATAATAACACATTGCCATTGTGTTAGAATAACTCTATTACCCAACTCAAATTTCTCTTCACATTCAGTTCATATATTCCACAAGGATTTTTCTGTTTTTACCAACAAAAAGAATGATTTTCTAACTTTTGACAAAATTTCAATAATATTTGATGGTCTTTTATGTAATTTGTGGTCAAAGACAAATGACACTGGTAAAACACAATATTGACTATATAATAGCATACAAATTGTAGAAAGCAATCTAGAAACTAAGACCAAATACAATTCTAATAATAAATACCTCAATGTTGTTCTTTATTTCTGCTGTAATACTTGTAGTTTATTTAATTGCATTTTAGTATTTGCTTGTTACTCAATACTGTTTATACCCTACGCCACTGTAGTGGAGAAGGTACTATGGGTTTGTGCTGATTTGTACTTCCCGAATAGCTTTTTGGAGCTCGGAATTATGTTAACTGTTATTTTTTTTAAATCGGTACAACTCAGTTCTATATGTATAAGACTAAATGAGACTCATTTCAGCCATACAAAGTCCCCCTCAGAAAATGAAACGACCATAATTTGCTTATAACAGAAAAAATTTCATAAGTGGTGTAGCATACCCTATGGTCGGCCATACCTATGGCATATGCTTTCTTAAATGTTTTTCTTTTTTATGTATTTTTACTTTTTAATTTTGCAGTATTTTTATTTGATTGCTCAACCATGTCAGTTTTTTGCAAAATTCTATCAGTTGTTCATTAAGTTTTTGTTCATTAAGTTTTTGGACATATAAATAAATGACATTTTTTAAAAACATCAAATAAAAATTAAATAAAAAAGAATAGTTATCTATATACTAATAGATTAAATTACTTCAGCTCCTTTTAAATTAAAGCGGTTAATACTAAAACCTTGATCTTAGGTTTGAGAGTTTTTTTTACTATTGAAATAATAAATAATTTCATAAGTTTGTAAAATATAAATAACATTTAAATACAATATTCGATAAAACTTTACTAAACATTCCAATAAATTTTAACAAAGAAATAATAGTTAGGAATTGATTACCTTAAGTTATCATTTAGCATACTTAAAAAAATATAAAAACTGAAACCACTAACGTTAACTAACCAAGTATTTTTTAAATAAAAAATACATTTCATATCATTGTCAGTTGTTTTCTGTAATGCCTTTTTCCCCTTTGTTGAATTGTCAATAAAAGATTAATTGAATGACAAAAGAAAAACTTAATTAGTGAATGAATGGTTAGTTTAACATGCTTCAACAATTCAATGATAACAACTGTTTTTCAACAATTATTTGTTCATTTTCTTTTTCTATATCCACCAATTAAATGTGTTTGCAGAAGAAATTAATTTGTTTATTCATGAAGTGAATAGATAAAGAATGAAAACTACAAACAAATAAAGTTTATCTTTGTAAATATTATTGTCAATTATTACAATGTATTCACGGCTTCTGAAATAATAAATTTATTGCAATCGTTTACAGACGTAAAACTCAAAGCACAAGAAGTAATTAACAAAGCTCTTTTTCCGAAAAGTGATTAAAAATGTTTATAAAATAATCTACTTACATTAACATTTTTTAATTATAATAGTAATTTTTTTTTTTTGCTCATATAATGTAAGGTCCTTTGGGGACTGATCCTTATAAAATTTTAAACAGGAATTTAAGTTAAATAATTTTCTCAAAGAGAACTTATATTTGGGCTAAATTTCCAACTACCCATATTCTAGTTATGGATAATCAATGAATTAATTTTTCTGTTATCCATTAAATTAAATTTTGCTATGTTCTGCTACATATTAATAGAAAAACTAACACAATATTATTAAGTAAAGTAATTACATTGATTAAATTTCTTCCAGACATCATTTCTGTAGAGCAAACAATGAGCTACTCTCTTTGCATATGTATGTTTTTATAAGAAACTGCCACCTTGAATGCACCACATGCAACAGTAATCGTTCATCAATTTTATTTTACTTACATACATATGTACATATGTGTTTTCTTCGCAGCATTTCTTTAGATTAAAATATATATAAAAATATATACATACATACGTACCATTACAATGTTGACGCAAGGTTGATTGTGTTTGTAGATTATTACTTTGCTCTTTTGTTTCCTTAAATGATATTTCAGTTTCCGCTTGAATGTTTGCCGAAGAATCGTAACACAAACCTCTTCTACCGTATACTACACCTGCTGCTGAAGGTGAAATTGAACCCATGGCTGAATACTTATTTTCTGCTCCTGTACTGCTGCTTGTACAATATTTTGTTTCTCTACAATTATTTGTTGCTGATTTCATTGTTTGCAATGTATCACCATTGTTGACACAACCAGCGACTGTACCTGATCCTGTCAGAGTACTAGCAGTGCCTTTACGTGTCTGATATCGAAATGACATGTTCAAATTAAATACAGTTGGTGTTTTCATTTCAGCCTCAACTTGTGTGTAAATTTTGGATTCGCCTGTAGCACCATGGGTCACATTATTGTTTTTATTACCAAATATAAGTGCTTTTTCATCCTTGATTCCCATATATAATGTGCGTGTTATTAGAATGTATGCCACACATAATATGCCCAAAGGTAACACCAACAGTACGAGATCTAAAAATATGTTATAGAAACGTTCATAGCCAACTGCTTCCTCTGGCCACTGTTCGCGACATTTTCGTAAACCTAAAATAGAATGAAAATAAAAAACAAATTGTTAATATTTTTTGCAGTTGTGTTTTTCGTTCAATACATATGTATAAATAAATAATTTTTGGTTTTAAATTTCATCATAAATTATTTATTACTTAAAGGCTTGAATATAAGCAAACGTTTTTAAAATGTTCATACAGAAATAAACGTTGGCGTTGGAAATCAAAAATAAAATCTATATTATTTTCTCAAATTTTTTTTTATTTTTTTTAATTTTCTCTTTAAAGCAAATTAATTAAATTTCCTTATTTGTTTGTTTCATGTTTTTTTTTTTCATATTTCTGCAAACATATTTATCTCACAAAAAAGTAAAATTATTACTGATGGACATTTGTTGAAAGTTTGTATGAATGTCCGTTGTCGGTGACACTTAATGATAAAACTTGAGAGTATTTGCATTATTTATTGGTGTTCATCACTTCAACGTCATGTTAATGGATGTGGTGCACCAGTGTACAATGATAATGATTATTATAACATCGTGAATCGTTATGACTTTACCAGTTGATTTGCATTCAAGCAGAACTTATATTTCGTTGTTATTTTATCTTAATTAATTGATAAATAAATAATGAAAGTGCTAAAAGCAACAGTTTGACATGGTAAAGTTTGTAAAAATTCTGCATTAAAAATCTCTCAAACTATTTCCACATACCATCAGAGTCGTTTATTGATTCTAAAACGACGTAGTCAAGAACAAAGTGGGAGACAATAGAGGGGTGTAATTTTACACAAATATTAAAACGATCAAACGATGTAAATGTTAATAGTTGTTTAGTCGAAAATATAAATTTGAATCCTATATGAAATATTCGCTTCATTTTCATTGATATCGATGTCTTCCGATCAGAATTTTAGTCCTATTGGATAGAATCTTATACACAATTTGTCAACATTATCGGTCAAGAACTTTCTGAATTACAATGGGTCAAAGTCTAACATTTTTGCCAAACATGTATTTCTTTCACTCTATGTAACTTATTACCTATTGATCATAGCAAAAATTGTTCCAAATAGTTTAGACAGCTATTTCTTTAATGTGTTGAAAAACAATATTTGTGAAAATATGTAACCTCTTCAAAATAGTTCTATATTCACTACGGTGTCTTATTTCAAATAGTACAATAAATAACTTAAACTTATCTTGATTATTATACTATTTCAAACAAGTTTACTTACCCTGACGACTTGTCGGTATCAATTGACTAAAAATAGCTATTGGTGCCATACAAACGATGCTGCCAAACCAAATGCAACCAATTATTTTATATGCATGATTTATAGTCTGCCATGTCCTTGAGCGTAGTGGATGACAAATGGCATAATAACGTTCACATGATATTGCCACCAAAGTCCACGATGAAACAGCGACTGAAGCAGCTAAAATGAAATAAAATAAAATAAAATTCTCTCAAATAAAATGTATACTAGGGTTATAACTTTTATAAAATTTTAAATCGGCCCTAACCACTCAATATAGATTATACAAAATCGCAATTTTCAATACAAACAAGTGTCATTGTTTGACCACGACATTTACACAGAAAAAAGTATGTATAGGTCCTGCGGTATTTATCCTTCTTCAAAATTTAGGACCCAAACTTGTGATTATACTATTAAAAATTTGTTTCTGAATAGTTTTAGAAAATAAATTTGCCGCGGAAGATTTTTGCACCAAAATGACCCAAAAAAATAGTTTTCATTATTAGAACACTACTGCCCGCCACGTAGTGATAGTGCATAATTTTGGTTATAACCCTAATGTATACATTACTAATGGCAAAAGTGACAAAGAGAAAACACAATTGATATTTATCAAATATAACTTCATTGTGCAATTTTGTAGTAAAATACGTTTTTTTCTAGTTTTAGTTTAAAAATTAAATTATTGTTTCCCAGAAAATTTTCCGCGAACAAGACTCTTTCAATTCATAAGTGTTTTTATAATTTACTTATTTATGAAAATATGTATGAATTTCATTACTTCTTTAAAATGTTTATGGCTTCGGGACTTAAGCAGGGTCTATTGTTTGAGAAATATTTTAAAATTATTTATTATCTTAAAATATTTGCACTAAATAAACCAAAAATAGTAAAGCAAATAACAATGTAAAATAAAATAAATTATGCAGAATTCCCCAGAGGGTGAAAATTACAAAATTTGTGTTCTTGTTTTCTCAATGGCCATGGAAAACAAATAAAAAATATGCCTAAAAACAAGTGTAAAACAGAACAAAAATGTTATACAAATACAAAACGTTGGTAATATTTAGTAACCAGAAAAAACAAGAAAAATTGCAATGGACTGCAAACTTTCTCTGAAAGCCAGGGATTACTTAAATAAAGTACATGGTGAACAATAAAATATTGATTGTAATAAAAATTATATTCCTGGTTCTTACAAATCTCGTAACAATAATAGTTCCAGATCAGTGTTATATACACAAAATCTTTAACAAAATATAAAAACCTTAATAAATCTACCCAAAGTTTGATTGATGACTTTAATTTCTCCTTTTGAGGTTCATGATTGATACAGACTATTTTCTAGAAATAGCTTTAAATAGTCCAACTAAATATACTTTACTTTTCCTTAAACATTAACTAAAAACTTGTTTTCGTTCATTATCTCACATCTTTGTAAGTGTAATTTCTTATTTTCCTTTAAGGAAATATTTAAGAATTGTATGCGTGGGTATCTATGTGTTTGTTTCATTTTCCAAGAATTAAACTTACGAGAATTACGTGTAGTGAATACTCACATCTAAAATGCACAGAATATTATAACAATAAATATCTCCATGCGGACTTACCTAAAGGCATAAAATAATTTCTCATACTTACTAAAGTATCTAATGGTAACAAACTCATGTTTATCTTCTTTAGTAAAATTTTGTGGGTATATCCCAGCAAAAAATCGGTAATAGGTTGTACTTCCATAACCACTTACTTTTCAATGACTACTACTTACCGTCTGCATTACTTTGAAGTAATGACTCTCTTATAATGACTTTCACATAATCTGATATAGAAACTTTATTTTCGGTTTAGTCATTTTGTTTGCACATTTTATATCTAACAAACCGAAGTCCCTGGTTCGTATTCTAGCTGGCTCATTTTATTATTAAAAAACAAAACAACCCAGGAAAAACTAACATTGAAAAGTAATGAGTTAAAAAGCTAATAAGACCTCCTTTCACTACTTCTTCATTAGCATTTTTAGTCATTATTTTAACACGGTGATGTCATTGGAGGCAAGTACTTCCATGCTCGTTTAAAAATAGGGGGTTAAAGAAGTACTTGCAATTTCTCTTAGTAAGTTGTTTTATTTTTAAATAAAAAAAGAGCCTGCTAGAATGCGAACAAGGGACCTCGGTTTGTTAGTCAAATAGTTTTCACATACAAATTAATAACACACAATTAAATAAAATGTGCAAACAAAATTACAAAGCCGAAAATAAAGTACTTCTATATCAGATTATAAGAAAGTCATTACTAGAATATTTCCATATAATACAGACGGTAAGTAATAGTCATTGAAAAGTAAGTGGTTATGGAAGTACAACCCATTACCGAGTTTTTGCTGGGAACTTACTCAACAACTGTTTTATAAGAGAAATTGCATTTGTAAGCGAGCGTAGAAGTACTTGCCTCCAATGACATCACCGTATTAAAATAATGACTCAAAATGCTAATGAAAAAGTAGTGAAAAGAGGTTTTATTAGCTAACTCATTACTTTTCAATGTAAGTTTTTCCTGGGATACATATGTCGCTGTTGAGAAAATCTACGGTAAATCATAAAAACCGGGCATCATAAAAAACGGGACATATACTAGAGATTTTACAATAATTTAAATGTATTTTTATGGGAAAATTTATAACAAAATGTGTCATAAAAATGCGATATTTAAATTACATAAAAACATATATTTTTGTAAAATATATTTTAAAATAAATTAGTATTTTATATGCTTACTACAAGTGTATTTAGACGAAATAAAAGACTAGACAATAACACTTTAAAGTGTCAGTTTTAAATTTATAAATTACTAAAATAGAAATCTTCTTATTTTTCGTATTTCTTTATATTTTAGTTAATAGCTTAAGAGAGATGCCACTGATTCTAGATTGCCCATTTTTTCCCTAAAAATTCATATTGAAACTTATGTTACTAGTACAAAACTTGGTCACATTAGCTATTATAGTTTCTCAGATATAGAAATTAATATGGATGATACCACGCCCACTAATTCTAGTCTGCATATTTTTTCTATAATGTTTATACGGATGTAAAAGTTGACCGGGGAATTTTGAGGAGTCTTGCTGTTATAATTTCCTGGATATATGAATTTTAGTATGTATTTGACTAATATGGAAGATGCCACGCCCGCAAATGCCAGTCTGCAAAATTGTTTTTTAAAATGTTTATATAGATGTCAAAGTTGTCAGTACAAAATTTTAGGACTCTAGCTATTGAAGTTTCAAATAAATAGCTCTCATATTTTAATCCGTATTTAGTATATGGGCATGGGACCTGGAACATCTAAAATTTTTGTGAATTTTACTAAAATCGGTTCAACCGTTTAGCTGTTTATAAATAAAGAATGATATTTGACCTCCACATCAAAAAATGGTCTACAGTGGAGCGTTAAAGACATATTCTGAAGGGACCTTATATAGGGGATAAAATCAATAAAGAACCGATCCTCATAATATATGATAGAAAGATTTTCGTTCATATAAAACTTATTTATGTCGAATTTCATTGATATACTCGTACTTTTAAAACAGTTATTGAAAAATTTGTTTAAAATTGGATCCCCCTAGCTTTTTTCGTTCGGACACTATCGAGCTTTCTACAGACAGATGCACGGACATGACTAGATCGTCTTAGAATTTAAAAAGGACCCAGAACATATATACTTTTTCGGGTCTATGACCCAATAAGTTACAAACAGAATGACAAAATCAATTCCCCCTATCTTTTTCAATGGTGGCTATAATTATTCTTATACGATGCGTGAGTTATTCAGTTTTTAATCCTAGTTTTTTAAATTTATATTTTTAAAACTTTAAATCAGTTGAACACTACTATGGAAAAATTATCTCTTACACCCCCATTCTTTACTTCAAATGTAAAAATAAATCACAAACGTAAAAATACCTGTATAACAACATTCTTGGGGCTATTTTACGTTTTACGATTATCAACGACCCAATTCTCTTGTTAGAATAGCAGAGAATGAAGTAGAAATAAAAATTGCATATTTGACTTTCTTTGTGCGTAAATGTATGTGGTCTAATTGCAGACAGGATGCATACTTTCTAGCCATCCTACCGTACTGCATGTTGTACCATGCTGTATTTTTGTTTAATGAAGCTTTACACAATTGTTTGTTCCAACAAGCTGTTTGTTAAAATGTTTATGCGTTTTTGTGTTGAATATTTTTTTTTATTTGTAGAAACTCAAAAGTTGCTTTTAAATTTAAACCTAACAATGCTTTTAATCTTGTTCCTTTTGCTTTGCATTTTTAGTAGTTATTTTCTATTGTATTAATATGTATTTGCATAATATTTACGTTCTTTTGTTTAACTATGTAGCCAAGGTCAGTCAGCTCTTTTCACTCAGGTTGTCTAATAAGTAGTTTAGAGCAGTGTACATATATAAAATTCCTTTAGGCGTTTGTTTTTTGCAAAAAAATGCATTCAACAGTGGGCAAATTATGTAAAAATTAAAGAAAAGTAGAAAGCTTTAAATTTTCATGAACTTTTCTTTCGTGTAAATCGTGGTATAAATGTATCGCCAACATAAAATGTTGATATAAAAATAAACAATAATATAAAAATAAATAAATTCTATGTTTGGTCGTTTTTTATTTATATTTATTTATTTGTTACTTTTATTTATGAGGGTGTAATAAATAAAAAATAATTGTTTATTTGTCTGCAACAAATTAAATACAATCTCTAGGCCGCAATACATATTGGTAAAGGTTAAACATTTTAGAAGTACAATGAAGATAGGTTTTAAAAAAGATATCTTTGATATTAGTTCAATATATTGTCAATTAAATTAGATAAGCAGTTCATAAATAATATTCTTCAAAAGGTATGTATACAGTTCATCTAAAAATATGCTTCTAATATTTTATGTAGATATAAACGTCCTTAACATTTGCTACACTTTACTATTAACAACGGCTTTAATTAAGAGATTTACTAACGTCTCTTTGCTGTACGTGATAGATTACGTTTTACTTATTATACCCTTCACCTTAGTAATAGGAGTGTATATAAGTTCATCATTCAATTTGAAATTTCTATAATATAATTTTCCGACCCTATAAAGTATATATATTCTGGATCCATTAAATAGCGG